AATTGTGTGCACGTGGTTCTCGGCTCTCCGGCTGTGTCCTGTGTCCTGTGCACAAAAGGATTATTAAGGAGCTTCATATGTAAATGAAAACCAAATGCACACACTACGACAGAAGGATGTGAGCGGAGCGGGGAGCGGGGAGCGGGGAGCGAGGCAGATAACCTGGAAGCCACAGTTTGGCAAACACAGGCGGCAGGAGCGGCTCCAGCCTCAACTCAGAGCCAGACAATGTTTGCCCTGGGATCCGGAGGGGAATCCTGCAGAGCCAGGGAGCGTGCGTGTGCGGGGGGGCTACCTTGCGAGCCCGGCTAGAAAGTAGGTGAAAGCCAGAGGCAGACGGAAAGCCAAATGGAGTGCCCGCACCCGTTCGCTCGCTCGCTCGTTCGTTGGCCCGTAATTTATGCTTAAGATAAAGTCCTTGAATAAATACATGGAAAATCCTTTGAAATTGAAATTAAATACGAATATCATCTTTTTATACTTGCAGAGGGATATAATTAAAAGTGAACTTTTTTCTCTAGTTTATTTACCCTTTCCTTGTTAGGACGGGGTGGCTCTAGCGCCATGAACGTCGCCTCTTGGTGTTTGAGTTAGGTTGTTTGGGTTTTATTACGGAATTTAGGATGGGATATATCCTATAGCTTCATATAAGAGTGATCGGAATAAGTTTAATATTGTGTTTTATCTATACACTTTCTATCTATTTTTCTTTATAAGTTGCTTTAATTACTATTTCGATCCACAAAAACTTTGTTTTTAAATAGGATTGGTTTAAGTATTAAGTGCATCATATAATATTTAATATAATTCAGAGTATCACGCTCTTCTGTTTCGGAGGGAGGCTGAGGCAGGGGCTGCAGACAAAAGGCGAACGGGAAATGAAATTAACATTTGAGTGCGCTTTCCCAAAATTAAACGAGACTCCACAGGAATCGAGATGTGGGGAGTCCGGCCCAGGCACACACGTATTTATTTATTGAAGCTTCTTTGGGTCTTAGTTGTGTGAGCCATCTTATTTAGCATTTTTGGCATTTTCCCCGCTTGCCTCTCGCTCGCTCTGCCGATTTGAGTCTGCTTGGGTCGGGGTAAGACTCCCATAGATTGTGTGGCAAAACATTTTTCTTAGCCATTTGCCATATGAAATTAATTTTACAGTCAGCAGGCAGAGCCATGTGTGCAGCTTTCAGTGGCAAATAAGCAGAGAAACCATTTAAGGCGAATTTATTTTGAAAGGGGGAGGTTCGGGCTTGCGGTTACCTCTGAAAAATTGCAGGGAAATTGGAGAAGCTGACTGTAGAATATATTCTGTTATCTAAATCGTTTGTGAGACAAGGCTTCCCCAAATCGCACTCAAAAATAATATATGGCCGAGTGAATTGCTGGCTAAAATTTAATTTCGGGTCCTTTTCAACTGTTGCATACTTCTCAGCTAGTCTATCTTGTCTTCTCGTATCCTTTCTTCAAATTTCTATTCCCATTTGTATTCTCGTTTTGGCAAATGAAGTTGTTTCAGCTTTGGGTTTTGGCATTCACAATTCAGATTCTCGTTAGCTTCAGTTTTGATATGATTTCCTCGCATCTCTTGCACTGGATTTCCCACGGGCATTACATATTAACTATCCTTTCTGTACTCGAACGGGGATACAGATTAAATCTGCTTTTCATTAAAATTAATATTAATTTTACCTAAACACACAGGTTCAAATTGCATTTCCACAACCGAAAAATCCCATTGAAGTTGCAGTTGTTGCAGTTTGTAGCTTTGCCCAATTGGCTCATATAAATTGCATTGCATTTTTCCAAGCGCCCCTTTGGCAAAGTTTTATTATTGGAAAAACAAACATATTGCTGGTTCTCTGTTAAACTTTTGTTATTGCATTTTGAATTTGCGGTCGGGAAAAGGGTGGGGGCGATGGGTGGTGGGTGCAGAAAAGGCCTCTGGCTTGGGCATAGAAAAGCAAAGCACAAAAATTAATTATGAAACATTGTTGGAAATTGTGTAAATATGTATCAATGAAAATGCAAGGCAAACAAAGCATTCTCTCGTCGAAATACAAAGCCGGCTCGTCCCAGGTGAGCCCCAAACATTTAAATGGGATTTGAAAGTGATTTTCAAATCAATGAAAACAGTTTACAAATATTCAAAACAGAAATTGAAATATTTTCATAAGAATTACAATATCTCTGGGCCATGTTACTCTTGACTGGCACTGAATTCCGACACTATTCGGGACAAATAAATCCCTCGAATAATATGGCAAATTTTTCACTTTCCCCGACGCGATTCAAACATTTTTCAGCAGACCAACAATCGCAAATGTTAACCAGCATGGAAATTGCATCGAAATTTCGGGCGCGAAAATAGATACATCATAGATTTTGTTACCTAGTCAATTTATATGCGACCGATTTTAGTATGCCGGCGGTCCAAGCGAATGGAAAACCATCGAGAAGTGTCTAAAATGTGCAATATAAGTGCGGAGGGGAGGGGAAGGGACGGGGCAACGAGGCCCATAGGCTATATAAATTTCAATCTATCATTTATTTAAGTCCTAGGCCAGCGGCAGAGGAGCGGCGGCCTACCGAGGCTCTCATTGCCATAAATCCCCATCAGAGATACGCGTATATTTATTTACTGCAGCTCGCCCAGAAACAGATATAGACACCCCACACCCCCACAGCCTCACACCCAAAGTGCCACACAGTCGGGCAGAGAGGACATTGCTGGGCGACAAAAATTGTAGCCGAAAAATAAAATAGCTCCTCCTGCCCAACACCGCCTTGTTTCATATTTTATTTGTGTTTTATTTCTGCCTTTTCTGGTCGTTTTCTAGTTTTCTCCACCGACGCTTCTGCTGCTCCTTTTTGCTGTGTAAATATTTTGTAAAATGCGTTTTTCTTTTCAGTCGCCTGACGCTGCCACTGCTGTATCTTTTTATACACCTCGCTCGTCCTGTATATATAGCGCGCAATGAAAAAGGATTTTTTGCCGATTCCCGCCGGGCTGCCAATTTTTATGGTTAAAATATTTGTGTTGCTCTCGTTGGGGCGCGGGAACCTGCTAAAATATTTATGACAAGCGCCGGGGAATACCCGGCATACAATATACAATATTTCAATACAGCGAAAATAAAATTCTTAATGATTGGTTGGTAATTAAAAAAGTCCAATTGAAAGTGCCCCGAAGTGGAGGGGCGAAGAAAGCGGGGCGGGAAACTGAAGTGGCGGTCGTAAGTAGCCCAAATGAATTTTTATTGCTGTTCATTAGGCATCGAATGACATCGAATCAATCAATTGTGGCATGTCGATTCCAGATCGGAATGAGATCGTATAGGGGCGGGCCGCAAATGCAAAAGAGGGTTATCGAAAGCGAAACTATTGGCTAAGCCGGAAGGCCCTTCGATACATGGGCATATGGCATTATATTCAATTGTGTGCCATCGGGGACCTTCAACATTGGCCACAGTATCCCCGACAAAACTTTTAATTACCCTCCCTCTTTTTCTCTCTGGTTTCCATTCTGGGCTTGCCTGCATTCGGCAATTCCAATTAAGCTATCATATTCTTGTCCGGAAACTTTCCCAGAATCAAAACTTGTGCCTCCCGCCCCTGCCCCGCCACATATTTTACCGCCAGAACTGGGCTAACGAATATGTTCAATTTGGTTCCTGGCTGCCAGCCGAGCACAACAAAAACTTTATCTTAATAATTTCCATATTCCATAAGTTTAAAATTTTCCACAGTAAAACTTCTCTAGAGCAAAATATTCGGAAACTCGAACAATCGACTATGCATTTAAAACTTGGACATATACATATCTTAAATTCTCTTAAAATATAGAGGCTATTTCTAGGCTCAATCCTAGGAAATCAAATCGTAACTTTAACTGCATAATTGAAAATTCGTGAATCAAATTCGACACAACAACTTTACTTCGATTAGCTTAGGTTTCATAAATATATATACGTTTAATGTGTTTTTTTTCAATATAAGAATTATATTTTAAATACATTAAAACATTATAACATATGTACATCAATCTTTTAAAATAGAGTAACCCTTGAATTTAATTTGAGTTTGGAATTGTTTTTACTGCGCTCTCCAAATTTTTTTTAATACTTTAATTTATTTACCATGGTTTTATTTCCTAAGCATTTGGGTAATAAGTCCGACTTAATGAACTAAAGACTAAGTAATGTTTGAAATAAAATTCGAGAAAAACACTTGAAAGTAAAACCGTTATAAAAACAATCGTTATACATACATATGTGTGAATAAAATATTATATGAGTGCTTAAGGCCTCCCGTTGCACTAGTTCCTAAAACCCCTTGCTAGCTTGTAGTGTTAACTATAAGATAACATTAAATAATAATAATATATGTATGAATAAAATCTACATAGATTGCGGTCCCTGACCAATCTCCCTAAAAACTGTTCTAGTTATGGATGTCAGACTGTATCCTTAAGAGAGGATGTGCAGCAGGGCGGATGAAACTTTGAGCGCTGTACCTGCAGCAGTTTACCCGCTCTTGGTTGGGGCACTTTTCCCATTTTCTTTTGTGGCAAAAATGCAGAATGCAAAGCGGCAAAACCTTAAAAAAAAGGAAATACTGATTGAATGGCATTCCATTGAAGTTGATGGATGCATTAAGGGGTTCCCCGGTGCCCCCTGCTCCTCCTCCTACTCCTCCTCATCCCAGATATCACACACACTAGCGCAGGCGAAGTTTTGTGGTAACCGAAAACACACACAAGGCAAGCTCAGAAACAGAAACAGACACAGAAACAGGACAAAAAGGGACAGGGACGGGGACGGGGAAGCAAAGAAGGAGGCGAGGGCCAACCTGCATGTGCAAGGCGCATATCTGTATAATGGATTGCACTTAACATGCCACACACAGCAACCACAAGTGCCGCCACAGGACCCCCTCCCCGGCCCTGTCTCTCTCGCTCTCCCACCGCCTCTCGGGCAATACATCATTTACGGAACTCAACTCACCTGAGGCTGGAACTGGAGCTATCGGAAAAAGTCTGTCGCTACTGCTGGCGTAATCCCGGCTACGTAACGTCTAATCCTTTTGTTTACGTTTATGGTTATGGTTATGGTTGTGCTTGCACACACACACAGTCACAGTCATCCGCGCGCTCGTAGAGTGAAATTTAAATTTCGGCACACATTACGTGGGCGGCTTCGCGTGGCTCATCCGCCCCGTTGCCAATTGTTAAATCCCGCCACTCACACACTCTTACACACCCGCGCGCAACGTAAGCCGTAAAGCGGAAGCGTAACGGTAGACGGTTAACGGTTAACGGTTCGCGTCGCGTAACGTTCAGCCAGGCGTCCTGTCCTCTTAATGTCCTGCAATTGTTGTTGCTGCCAGGAAGCCGGCTCAAAAGAGCGAGACGGAGCGACGTGTGTTTTGATTTAATTCGCAAATTATGTGCTGCTTAGTTCGCGGCACCGATCCGATTTGCATATGAATGCCGCACAGTGAAACCGAGTTTTTTCGTTTACAACGTTTTATTTACATATTCTTGGGTATTTTGGGCAGAAGAAGCACTCGCCGCGCTGCACAATGTTTCACGCACAGTTCTGTCTCGCCTTTTCGTGTTTTATTTTGGGAGTTTTCCTAGTCGTGTCGTGCTGCAAATGCTTGTGTCTCGGGCGAACCATCCGCCCCGTGTACCGCTCGCTGGGAAAATTCGAAAGTAACTGAATCCAATGGGTTGGACGTCGAGCCAGCAGCGGTGGCAACATCGGTGTTTTCGATGTTCTTCCGTCTTTAACAGAGTGAGCGCAGAGACTTGAGTGGAAAGTAACAGAGTGTGTACGAACTGGACTGGCATCGTTAACAGTGCGCGTGAACCGGAGTGGAATCGATGTTTTTCGATGTTTTCGTTAACAGTGCGAGAGTAACTGAGTTCGCTTTCGGCCGAGAGTGAGTGATAGAGAGAGAGGGGCCTTTGTTTACAACGCTCTCCCTGCCGTTGCGCATGCGCGAGAGAGTGAGCGCAAGAACGCGCCTCTGTTACCGTCTACATAATTTAATTTTCTACCACCTAGGCGATTACAGAGAGCGCCCGCTAACAGGGCTTTCCCAACAGCGGCAGGTGCATCTGTCGGGGCCCTCTGTTACGGGAAATTGAAATGCCAGACGGCAGTTGTAAAGGTTCAAATGCCATGCACGTAGGCTAATTACCACAATGTAAACAACATTTTTGTGCCGCGCGCAATGCAAATTAACATTAGACAAAGGGCAATTGTTTTCGACCACCGGATGGGGGAGTGGCCCGCCCCGGCCGCTGGCTGAGCTTTATTAATTATACTTTTTCGGGGGCTATTTAGCATGCCACATATGTGGAGCCGTCCAGGAAATGGGACTTGGGGCGGGAATACATTAATTGCTAATGAAGTCATCGACGTGAAAACTCCGAACCTTTATAACAGTAACTCAATTTTTATCAATTTGCTTTTTTGACAGCCATTTGAGTTTGTAGAGATTTTGGATTGAGGAAATTTCTTTACATTTATTCAATTTGCTGTGAACAATCTATTGTTTCGACTGCATCCTTATAAAAACAAGCGGACCGCGTTGCATTGTTTTACGTAGGAATTGCCAAATAAATCTAACAGAAGTCTCCCTCAAGAGAAAGCATTATGTGATCTTTCTTATAATTAAATAAACTTGTTATGCTATTTTAAGAACTATTCTTCAAACGTACATTTACAAATTACCAATTAAATTTTAAATGATCTAGCTAAATAGTTTGTATGCTTTTATGTTAAAAAGCAATGGAGTTATGTCGATTTACATTTTTCGATCGTTCCTATCGTAGCTATTTGATGTGGTCTTTTGATTTAGTTTTTAAATATAATGTTTTTTTAAATTTTAAAAAAGTTTATATGTGCATCTCTTTACTTTGACAACTATATAAAATAATCTTGCTATTTTTATAAAACAATTGTGACGAACAGTAAGATTTGCTGTATTTAACATTTTGTTAATAGCCGCCCGTGCTAACCATAACCATTTAACAGAGTGATAAATTGCATGGGCTGCCTGTTAACAGTCTGTTCGCGAAGAATAGCGTGCATCGAACGACCCATTAACATTAACGGAGCATCTCGAGTTCATGGAAGCTGTGAACGCGAAACGACTCCATTAACAGCTGCAAGTGCTCTCTCCTGTCAACCAAACGAGCCATTAACATTCAAATTAGTGTCTGTTAACGGGCCGCTGCTGGCGCTCGCAAAGTTTCTTGCCCTAGGTTAACATGTAAACAAAGGCGCTGTTAGGGGACACTGTTATTTGATTGATCAGAAAAATTTTATTCACAGAAACGTAAGAAATGTTATTTATAATATTTAATCTATTTATATCGTTTAAATTATTTTACGTTTAAATAAATTACTTAATATGTGAATATTTATATATAAAATATAACTTTTAACACAACAATGAAATTCAAATTTTTCTCTCTATTAAATATTTAATTTTATTAAAAATAAGACAAAGAAAAACGAATTAAAGTTAACAAATTTTACGAGTTATAAAACCATGATATGTTTGATTTTAAAATAGATCTTATGAAATCCATCATATCAAAACAAATGTATTTAGGAAAGCGAAATCAGTCAATCCCCTCCACCTGTGGACAGTACTTTTGATTTGGGTGAGTAATTCCATACTTTGGCAACAGAGGCAGATTAATGAAGCCTCAGAAGTGCCTGCATTCCATTGTTAACCGCACAGTGCTGTCAACTCTGTTGGGGAAAACCAGTTTTGAGTCAGCCGGCTGAGCTAACAAATCGAGTTAACAGCGAAAGAGAGCGGTTTTTCCTTTACAGCTTCCGTGTCCATTAGCACTCCAGTAAACGCTCTGCTATCAGCCCGAAGGTCTTTAACGATTCTGTTAACAGACAAGATTTCAATGTCACTATTTCTAAAAGCAAAGAGAGCGGGAAAATGAGCGGGAGAGCGCATGGCATGCTAAAGAATTTATTACAGAGTTCAAAACGTTTTCCACTTCCACGGCTGTCTCTCCCGCTCTCGCTCGCCATTCATCTCGCTCCATGCCCGAGCATGGGTGAGGGGCGAGGGGAGGCTGCTGAAATGGTACATTAATAAATGAGTGTTATATGCTTTGTCCTAGTTGACTTCATGACATTTATTCATTCATGGGATCACTGGAAGCTCCTGTTCTCTCTTCCGATTCCTTTTTCGCCCCAAAAACTGGGATTTTAAATGGCTTGTCCTCCGTCTGCGCATCCTTCGGGTCCTTGTCGCCTTAATTAGGTTTTTTATTAACTAAATCGCGCATATTTAAAAGTATTTATTATTTATTGTCCCTCTGTATTTCGAATTCATTTCGCCTTAATTTATTTATGTCAGCTTTTTTCAAGCCTGATTTTTTTGTGCAGCCAGCGATTGAGCTCTTAAATTATTAATTAATTTCAGTTATTTATTTGTATTTATTTTTTGTCTCACCTTATCCCACTTTGTTGTGTATTGATTTTGCAGTCATTAGTTTCCTCGCTGTTTGTTTTACATTTTATGTGCATTTTTAATTAGCTGACAGCATTGTTGTTTTTGCCCATCCCGGTCCCGACTGCTGATGTTGTTCGTGTTGTCCGCTGACCTTTGACACACTCGTAGAAAAACGTTGACAGTTTATGGTTGGCTTTAATTGCTTCCATCGCCCGCTCGTCAAAGTTAATGTAAATGGCTTGTCAATCAATCAGTTGATGGCCCCAGGCCCCAGAAAAAGATTGAAAGCCCAGTTTTTCCCCATCGCTGCGGGATTAGAGTCGGGACCATGGTCCATGATCAAAAATTGCAAAGGGAATAAGTTAATACCAGCGATGGAAAATGCACATGTTACTGTTGTTTGGTAACCCAAAATATGGATTAAATGGGACGCCAAATAAAAAATAAGCTTTCCAGACAAAAACCTTTCACACCTTTTACATAATCAGACCTTTTTAGGATATTAAATGAAAAGGTTACAAAAGGATTGTAACGGACTCATCTTACTTAGCTTCGAGTTAAGTTTTATTAACAAAATGTTTTATTTGTACTTTCGATATAATGTTTTGTCTATCTTAATCCAATCTATTTTATACATAAACAGGTGCCCAAAACATGCGTAATTCCAATTTGAATACAAATATTGTATATTTATATAGTTTTTATTAGAAAGCGTGGCAAATAATAATAATAAATAGAATGGCTACTTTAGGCAAAAGCGTTTTGATATCAACAAAAATAAATCATATTTTAACTGTCTTCTGACAAGTATTACTATAGTTATTTATTCTAAGAATACTTCAATTAAAGAATAGAGCACTGCCCCTATGACTCTGAAATCACGGACTCAAAAGATTTGTATCTCATATTAACAAGGCACTACATTTCTCCTGGTATCATCTTCGTAACTAGATTGACAGATCACCACTCATAAACGTCACTAGGGTCATTTACCCAGTGTGCTGACTCGTGAGGCAATCCATTAGATATCCACATGGTATGGGTTCATTTCACGCCCTTGCCAGCGCTCTCTTTCACTCCCACTCTTAGGGCACGGGGCTCGATCTACCTGGTACCTGTTGCAGGTGAGTGAGCGCACCAATCAGACCGTTCCTTGGTTCTGCTGGCCCCTGGGAACAGATTGCCCAGCGACCATTGGCGGACGACCAGACATGTGTCTGCGATAGTGCATATACGATAAGAATCTATTTCAAGCACGGTACTTGGAGATGACAAGGGCGGACTTGAATAATTATTAATTACTTTTTAATATATTGACTAGCGACGGCGTTTTTAAATATATTTATTGTATTGAAAAACGGAAACGAGAACCTTAAGTTACTCATAAAAAACTATCGCGTTTGAAGTTTCTTGATAAAAAAAGTGCGATAGTTCTCCAATTAATACCTGTACATTTTACTTGATATTTAAGTTGGAATAACACTTTAAAAGATCGGGAACTTCTCCCAAAAACATCAAAATAATCCTACATGCTTTTAATTTTAAATCCCTTCTGGCAATTATTGGAACAACTGAAAAAATATTGCAAAAAGACAAAATTAAAAAAATGGATCTGAAACCAATTTTTTAAAGTTTTATTTTAATTTTACCATAATCGCGCTAGCTGCATTGACTAAGAAGTCTCTTCACATTTTAATTACAATTTTTATACCCTTGCAGAGGGTATTATAATTTTGGTCAAAAGTGTGCAACGCAGTGAAGGAGACGTCTCCGACCCTATAAAGTATATATATTCTTGATCAGGATCACCTCCTGAGTTGATATAGCCATGTCCGTCTGTCCGTCTGTCCGTCTGTCTGTCCGTCTGTCTGTTTCTACGCAAACTAGTCTCTCAGTTTTAAAGCTATCGAATTGAAACTTTGCACACACCCTTCTTTCATTTGCACGCAGTATATAAGTCGGAACGGCCGGTATCGGCCGACTATATCCTATAGCTACCATATAACTGATTGATCGGAAATGCCATAACTTTCGTGTTTGTAAAGTTAGGAAGTTGGGATTTTCTATGGGTTTTATATTTGGCCAATCCATTCGACCTACCAAATTTCATAAGGATCGGCCGACTATATCCTATAGCTGCCATATAACTGATTGATCGGAAATGCCATAACTTTGGTGTTTGTAAAAAAGTTGGGCTTTCTATGGGTTTTATATTTGGCTAATCAATCCGACCT